GTCAGTGGTGTTCCCCAGAAAGTGATAGAGCAGCGTAGGTCTGGAGGGGTTGCTGTGTTTTCAGCTCCCAAATCCTTCTGGAGGAACTCAGTCTTCATGATGTCCCTTTGAAAAGGCATTGATGTGGGTTTCAGTGCCTCACTTCCAAGCTGTTGTGTGTTAGGGCCACTCTTAAGGGTGCAGGGGTGGTGGTTTGGAAATGAGACCCCACGAGCATAGGAACAAGACAGAGAGGAGCAAAGCCATGCCCAGGAGCCTCTGCTGCTGACTGCACCTGTGAGCTTCCTTCAGGTAGGTTCTCCTGTGATTCTGATGCCCAGCTCTGGCTGGGCTTGCAAGGCAGCTGAGACATGAGGCTGCAATCTATTTGCTTCCTGCATGTGCTGAGCACATGCTGCTGTTAGCTCTCGCTTACCACACGTCCACCTGTCCAGGCTCTCTGCTGAGTGCTTTACACGTAATCTGTCCTGCTACCCTGGTAGATCGTTTCTGCAGTTACTTCCATTTTACAGATGAAGAAATAGAAGATCAGAGAGATCCGTTAACCTGCTCGAGGTGTCATAGTAAGTGACAAAACTAGATCCCAGCCTGGGAATCCTAGGAGCTCACTTTTGGAAGGGGTTATTAACAGTTATACGTATGTGATTATCATATAGGGAGGTATGGAATATTTTAATAGCCATGTGTTTTATGTGTTGAAGTAATGGAAATCTGGCATCTACCTGAGCCTTGAGGCATCCTAATATGGTGGAAAGGACACAGGTTTTGGGCTCAGGGGAGCAGAGGTCACACCTGAGTGTGCTGGGCACCTCATCTGCCTTCTCTGAACATCACCCAACTCCTTTGTATTTGGGTCTCTTACCTCCATAGGACTGCAGAGGTTACCACATGTGTTAACATAGGTAGAAGACCTCCCCCTGGCACCAGGTCCATAGTCAGCCTGGAGCTCACACTGTTAGTTTCTTTGTCTTTGCTCCAGAAATGGAAAATATAACAAGAATATGAGGAGGCAGGTTGGAACACTTTAAATGTAGCAGTTAAACAGAAGTAAATTGGGGACCAGCAGGTGGTGTGGTGGTTAAGGCGCTGGACACTCCCGTAAGACCGACCATGGTTCCAGTCCCAGACCTGGTGGCTTGCTTTCTCACTTTCTCTTTCTCTCTCTGGTCAAATTAAAATAAATGGACAAATAAATAAATCTTTAAAAAAATAGAAGTAAATTGGAGCTACTGCTATTATTATTGTTATTATGGGGGCAGGAATTAAAGTATTGTAAACATCTTTAAAAATCAAACTTTATTGATGTGTAATTTACATAAAATGATTTTTACTTTTTTTTTGAGAGATTTTTGCTATAGGATATGTGGTCTCATTGGAGACACACACAGAGAGAGAGAGAGAGAGAGAGAGAGAGAGAGAGAAAGTGAGAAATCACCCTGTGTGTGTGGGGGATGCCACATCACAATCCCTTCTCCTCCATTCTCCTCCTGGGGTTTTGGGCACACATGTACACATGCCCAGTGTGAGTTTTAAGCCACCAGTTCTGGGGCCGGAACAGTGGTCGGCCATGTGGGAATCCAGCACCTTAACCAATCTGCCCTGCTGACCCCCAAATAAATTATTTTACATCTACAGTTTAATGAATTTTGACACAGGTATCAGTTAATTTATATAGATGTATCTATTTATTTTTTTTTCATAGGGCATGTGTACTCGCTGGAGAGAGAAGGAGCTAGTGAGAGGGAAAGTGAGAAATCACCCTCCGGTAGGATGGCCACATTGCAATCCCTTCTCTCCCATTCTCCTCCTGGGATTTTGGGCATGTACACACATGTGCCTGGTATGATTTTCAAGCCGCCAGATCCAGGAGATTCAAACTGCGGTCAGCCATGTGGGAATCCAGCGCCTTACCCTCCATGCCACCTGCTGGCTGGCCCCTATTTATTTATTTATTTATTTATTTATTTATTTATTTTAATAACTAGTTTAGGAATCTTGAAAGTCTGCTACCTATAGCAGAAATTCTCTGCCTTTAGAAGAGAATAGTGGAGGGAACCAGCAGTTAGCGTAATGGCTATGTCGCTGGACTCCCACGTAGTCGACTGCGGTTCGTGTCCCGGACCCGGTGGCTTAAAAAACTCACGCCGGGCGCGTGTGCGTGCATGCCCAAGATCCCGAGAGGAGAATGGAGGAGAAGGGATTGCGGCGTG